GGGTCCCAACAACATGAGGAACTGTATTAAAGGGTCGTGGCATTAGGAAGATTGAGAACCACTGATAGAATGACCCTTCTAATTTGTCCCTACCTGGGTGGAAATGACCAGGCTTTTAACCTCCTTCTCTCTCCAATCAGGTCACTGCTGTTGGACAGCTCCATGAAGGCTCCAGTATTGCAGGAGGTGCTATGTGAAGGTGCTGACCCTGGAAGACTATCATGCCCCCCACTCACCCAGCAGGAGGGGTGTCAAATCCTCAACTGAAGCAGTATCTGCATCACACTGTCCACCACTGATTCTAACCTCATATTTTAAAGTGGAAACTCAGGGACAGAAAGGAGTCAGTCAGTTACAAATCTGAGTCTAAAACCCTGAACTTATCACTCCCTGTTTTTTGGGTTTTTTCCCCCACTATTCTAACCAGAAAAATATAAAATAAAATGTGACTGTCTATTTTGGAAAGGATGAGCAAGGAAGTATTTATTTGGTTTAAGGAATATTCTTTAATGGCACAAACAAAAGGTCTGAGTCCAAACAATTGTAGGAAAGTTTATAAAAAGTATTAATTGTATGCCCTAACCGGTTTGGCTTGGTGGATAGAGTGTCGGCCTGCAGACCCAAGGGTCCCAGGTTTGATTCCAGTCAAGGGCACATACCTCAGTTGTTGGCTCCTCCCCAGCCCAGGCCCTGTTCGGGGCTTATGCAGGAGGCAACCAATCGATGGGTTTCTCTCACATCGATATTTCTCTCTCTCTCTTCCACGCTCTCTAAAAATCAATGGAAAAATATCCTCAGGTAAGCATAAAATAAAAAAAGAGAGTACTAATTGTCAAGTTCATCATTTAATTATGAATACAGCATTATACATCAAATTTCTATACACGAATGTTTTGTTTTCGAATGGCTTTATGTACACTTCTGTTCCCTACATACATGTTACCAACATATACTGTATTAAATGCCTGCTTTTTCTAGGTCTTCAATGGATCTCAATGGGAAAAGCATTAAAATGATTACTATGTTCAGGTCTGACACTACCAAGGTGAGTGTATGTAGTTTATTTAGCAAATTGGTTGATCTGCTTGATTCTTCATTTTCTAATTTTACTTGAAAGTGCCTGGATATGATAATAAGACAACTTCCAATTTAAAAATAAGTAAATAAAATAAAATGCCATGGTTAGGAATGAGAATACAAATTCTTTTTTATGTGCATAAATATCATGTTTTCATATCATGCTTCCTCTCATATGCCGCATTTTGGGCACACTGTTCTTTCTGTTTTATACATTGACCCCCAAGACATCACATGACTGACCCCTTTTCCTGTCTCAGGTGATGGCACTAAGGTGATCTCCTCAGAGGCCCATACAATCTAAGTACTCCCTCCCTGCCTAAACCAAATTTCTCTTATGTTAACTTATTTTATTATCTTGGTAGAACAATTATCTCGTATTATCTTGTTCATATATTTATCTATTATTCACTACTGAATCCCAGGCACATATCAGTGCTTGGTATTTAAATATTTAATAATTGCCGAAACCGGTTTGGCTCAGTGAATAGAGCGTCGGCGTGCAGACTGAAGGGTCCCAGGTTCGATTCCGGTCAAGGGCATGTACGTTGGTTGCGAGCACACCCCCAGTAGGGGATGTGCAGGAGGCAGCTGGTCGATGTTTCTCTCTCATCAATGTTTCTGACTCTCTATCCCTCTCTCTTCCTCTCTGTAAAAAATCAATAAAATATATTTTAAAAAAAATATTTAATAAGTACTCATGTGGAAAAATGAATGCAGATACCTCATAAATGAATGTTTATGATTTACAGAATTTTAAATACACATTAGAAACACAACAACTGCAAAATTATTTGTCTGGAGGAAATCAATTCATTCTATATTTCTGAATAAATTTGAATAAAAAAAGGGACTGCTACTATTTTAATAGCAGTATTTTCTTAAACAAGCTTAGTTATTTTTAATCTGAATCTTCTTAAAGGACATAATGTTGCACAAAATGAATATGTTTCTGTTTCCACAAATAATGTATTTTTTGAGGTAATAAAACTACTGTATGGGAGACATTCCATCTTCTGACTGTTAAAAATTTTTAAGAAAAATATGTTGAAAATTCTTAAGAGTAACTTCCCAATTTTACATTAAAAAACAAGCCTATGATAAAGAAAGTCTGTACAAGAGAGACAAACAAAAACAAGCTATAAATTAGTCCACTAATCTTACAATAATATTTTTGCAAGAAGCTTTTATAATTGTTGGCTAGTTTCTAAGCTAGGAATATAAGATGTCCCAGAAGATTAACTGAGTTTCAGAATTCAACCTCTGACAGGGTCAAGTGGAATGTCCTTTGTGATCTTGGCTAAACATTTATCCTAACACTCCAATACAGACCATTCCATTTATCTAAGTTTATACTTTCAGTGCGACATTAAAAATACTTAGTTTTTAGCTAGACAAGGTATTACATTCTTATTTTCATCTGCACCTATTCAAGTTATAAAGTTCTATACACAATTCTCTTCTCTTGATTAGGGAAACTTTCTTTTATTTACCTAAAAACTCTCCTAATAGTTCTTTCTCTCAATTCTGTAGTTATTCTAGAAGTTTGGTTCTTACTGAAAAATACTATGTTCACTCTACCCACACAATTAATTTTCATGAGAACTTGATTCTATCTTTTTTCAAACGTCATCTTTTGAGATCAATAAGGCATTATTAGGTATAGGAAAACCTACACCTAATTTCTTATAGAGGCCAGACACGCAGTCATAAATGGGATTGATGTCAGGATAATAAAATCACCAAAGTATATGAAGAAGAACTGAAGCAGTAAAAGAAAGACATTTTAATATCTTATGAAGTAGAGGGGAAATGAGCATAGATAAATCCTAGAATTATTTTTTAAATGCATTGAGCAGGCCAAATTTTAGATAGTAATCAATCACTAACTGAAATTAATGTTAGTTTCTCTAAATTATCAGGCAGTTGTCCTGGTCAGTGGTAACATTAAAGTAAATGAAAAAATTAAAATAGAACCTTGAATTCAGGCAAGATCCTTTAGAAATCATTTTCACACAAAGAGTAATTCTAGGTTGTGCCATAGTCTATGATACTTAAGATATGCTAAATAATGTAACAATTCGGGGGGGGGGGGCCTTTATCATATTCCACACTCACCTTTTATTAACCTCACAGAATTAAAAAGGTTTCCCAAATGAAATGTCATGATAATTCTTTATTTTACCCAAGTAACATTATAACAAATCTTGGTTGGCATTGTTATCAGCTTCAAGGAAACAGAAAACAAGGTACAAAGCTAAGTTAAAAGCAACTTTATTACAATACTTTTCCAAACTTCAAAATGCATTTAGTATTGCATTTAGACCTAATAATATTATACATTATATTACAAGACAGAAAGCATTTCTGGTCAGATATTTAGCTTGAATGTACTGCAAAACAGAGCTTACTAGGAATGGCAACAATACACAAGAGTTTATATCACTAAGTAAAATGTTTCTCAGATATCTCAGAAAGAATCATTCATATTTCAATTCATTTTATGTTTACTCCTCTGATTTAGAAACAAAGCAAAGCTATATTTTCTATCACTTACTAGATAATGCCTAGAAGTTGTCTATATCCTAATTATATCCACCAGCTTAGAAATATTTCCTTTGGTAGAAAATATGATTTTTTTAAATTAACTAAACCAAACAAACAGTGTATTTTTCCCCATTGCAAACAGGGGCAGAAATCTCTTCTTTCCTTTTTTGGGGAGCCAAATCTGGGCTTCCTCCTCTTCATGTAGCCATCCTATATTATAATTACCTGCTTTAAAAGATACCCAAATCTATAATGAAATCTATTCTAATAAATTCTAGTTTTAACTCAACAACCCACTCTGAACATTATGTAAGAATTAACTTAAAAGTAATCTGAGGAAAGGTAGTACCATAAGGAACTATTTTCCAAATTAGACAAGGACATTATTTGCTCACCCACCTCTGCTTCAAATGACTGACCCAATTCAACTTACGAAAATAACTCTTTTTCCAAGGTTAATACTCTGATAACAATGGAAAACAGGTAAATCCACTAAACAGCTCTAGTCCTTTAATAGACTCTCTGTTGGTTTAACATCTGTGAGCTACTGACTAGCACAATACATGTTCATCCTCCTTATTTTCACAACAGCAGGAAATGGTTAGAAAAGTATGGAAAAGGTCCTATTGTTTTCTTATGGCAAATTTAATACAGATTTTGTTCTGAAGTTGGAGAAAAGAAAAAGTGAATGAAAAGGTATGTGCTGGCTGCTTGAGGGGGCAAAGCTCATAAATCACTGTACATTAAGAGCACGTGCTGAAACTTCATGGTGCCAGTCACGTAATTTTGTGTATTTTGGGCTAAACACGTGAAGGGGTATCTTTTCCCTGTGGAAATAGAAAAAAAGAAGAAAGAAAAAAAGAAAAGTGATAGAAGAGTCGTAAGAAAGAGCAAGAAAAAGTTTCTACACTTCGTTCATCATGCAGAAAACATGCCTTCTAAAGCTTAATTTCACAAAGCTGTGTTATTTAAGAGCAAAAGATTTTAAGGGTAGAGAGCATTTTTTAAATACAAAAATTAACTATTAGAGCCCTCTCTTGGAAACATCCATTTTTATGCCCAAAATAAAGTGACTGCAAGATCACATGAATTCATTCACAGACTACAGTGTTAAAAAAGCACTCCAAACACACCCTTCCGCCTACTTATTTCAATACTAAATAAACTTTAGACATAAAATCCAGATAATATCTACTAATTATGAAATCTGTAAGTTGTACATTTAAGTTCCACAAAGGCACCACAGTTAAATGCTTAGCTTCTGGTTGCAAAAACAAAATGCCATACCATTACACTTGCAAATGCAAATGACAAACTGAGACCATTCATGAAAGGAAAGCATTCATTCAATTTACAAAAAAAAATGGACAACTTACTTTGCCTTCTTTGTATTATCAGTTTCAGCTTCTTTCACTGAAATATAATAAGCAATATGCAATATTAGTTTGTCTTTTAAACTTTAATAAGCCAGTGATCTTCAACTGGTGTGCCACAAGAATTTTTAAAACATGAAATACCTGACTATTTAGTCAGGGGCACTGACCTAGATTGTCAAATAAAAAAATGACAACAGCCTACACAATAAATAGCCATCAGGTGTAAATGAATCAAAATTATACCTATTATTTTTGTCAGATCAGCAAAAAACATACTTTTTGGTGTGCCACAAAATTTTAGTAATTAGTTTATGTGTGTCATCAGATGAAAAGGGTTGAAAATTGCTGATTTAAGCAATTACATGCATTAATCAATACCAAATGGTCAAGTTGCACAGAGCCACTAAAAAAAATTTCTGTATCATCTTGTCACTGGTCATATACTACAATCAGTACTACTATTACTGCTGCTTCTACACTTTTCAATGAAACTCTCCTGGGCTGATTTCTTATTTACAATAGCCATATTATGTACGGCATAATTTAAAAGCAAACTGCCTCAGGAAAATTACTGTTTTCTAATAACTGTTTATCTGTCTAAATGCTACTTCTCTGTAGAAAAGAACATTCATCTAGGTATTCACTTACTATGTTCAGTCCCAGTGATCTGGGCCAGGATTCGGAAAGAGCGAGACTGAGTCGTGCCCGTCCTTGGGTGCCAGTCTTCAGTATCCTCAATCAGTCTCTTCTTGCTGGCATCACTGTGAGTAGGTATGTGATAAAACTCTGTATTACGCTCCACAATGTGTTTCCTCGGTGGGCTAGGATTAGGAAGGAAAAAATGAATGAAAAATTTATAATTATATTAAGGATAAATATTCTCTGCCAAATTATTTATAATGCATACATTTAATCCTTAGTGTTCCTTTTAAATATTTTGCTTTTGCAAGCACACACAGCTTCAATTTTTTTGAAGAGTACCCTTCTAAAATAAAGTAGATGGAATTGTTTTTTAAATAGAAAAAAAAAGGTACGTATATGCTAATACAAAATAATAGTATAAGTAACTATTCAACAGGGAGGTTACCGTTTAGGTGGGGTTTTCCTTTTTAAGTGACAGAAGAAGGCAGCAGAAGAGAGAGTTCCAACATGAAAAGGAAAAGAGAAGATTAAGAAAAGAAGGAAACAAAGAAAAATTTAAATATCCACAGAAGTAAAAATAAAACAATTTAAAATTATGTACTTATTGTTCATGTAATGCCTTAAAAACACACAGGTATGCACTACATTCACATAAACACCGATATGCTGCTAAAATGTATTCGCTTTCATAAAATTAAATGATCGTGTCTTCAATAGGCCTACGAAACAAGAATGGTTTAGTACAGGCTAAACCAGCAATTCCAAACACAATTTTGGAAAGGGACAGAAGTGTTATTTTCTCATTCTGGTGTACAGATAGATACCCCTCATCCCTAATAAGACTGTGTGCAGAATCAGCATAGTGAAAAAGAGCTATGGTATATGATAAACCAACAAAATATTTATCAAAGGAACCTCATGTAAATCTTGGCTCTATGATTTTTCAGAGGTGGGATTTTGGACAAGTCAATCTCACTAGGACTCACTGTTTTCATTTATAAACAAGAATATCACATACAAAGTCACATTGTTCTGAGGATTACATGAAATAATATATGTGAATGGGATCTGTAAACTACAGAATTTGCTAAGAACATTAATTTTTCTTGTAATAAAGCATAAATATTGGGGAATTTACAAAGTACACTTTACCATTTTACCCTAAGGAACCTTATCAAAACTGTCTCACTCAGTACACTAGAAGTGTTTCTGTCCATTTAGAACATGATAGAAATAATGTTAACACTGGCTTTAGAATCAGGAAGATAAAAGTGCAGGTACTACATCCTCCACTCAGTGTGTGTTTAATGCAAGTCATTTAATTTCCCCAAGTCTAGATTTTTCCCATCTGAGAAATGGGGACTATATCTATCTTAATGGGTTGTTTTGAGGAATAAATAATGTATGTAAAGTGTTTTCCACAGTGCCTAATAGTAATGATCTCATACTATTTTCTTTTATTATTACTGAAATAATTGTTTGTTATGCATGCTCTAAAACTATGGGTCATCTGCATATATAAGGAACAGCATCAAAAGTATTTATATACAAAATTAGTAATACCTACTAAAATTTATGGTAAATTTTTAAGATACCAGAAGTGAAATCTCTAAAACACCTTTTACTAATATTGAACAAAACCTAATCCTTTTTAAAACAAACAAAATTTAAAAAATAATAGGCATAGATTATTTCATAACCACAGTCTTTGGCAGATATAAATTCCTAAGCAGACAACACTTTATCTTATGCAATTACCTGAATAACTTTATTTTAGTATTAAACTTATAGCTTTAAATTTCTCTATAATTAGTGATTGCAGTTTATGCTTAAATGGCACCAATTTCAGGTATAATATTATTGTATAATCTATAAAAGGTTTGTTCTATAAAAATATAAAACAAGAGTATAAAATTAAGACAAGAATAGTAAACAACACCACTTAAGAATATTTTTTAGCTGTGACTCAATTGGATACTCTGTGACATTCACCACAGAAAAGGTCTTGTGTTAAAATGATATGAAGTTTCTAAACATTCATTTAGTTTTTTTCAAACTTTGAAACTCTAGAACTCTGATTACTGTGATTAAAAAAGAGAATAATCTCAATGATTTTATTTTTTTAAGTATTTGGGATAGAATATAAACTTAACTAGCAAGAGCAAACTATTTCAAAATACAGACATTAAAAATCAGCAAATTTATTCAAATCTTTTTTAAAAATACTAAATGGCAGAGGCTGGAACTACAACTCTCACAACAATATACATGGTGTATAATACTTATCTATCTCCCTAAGGGTTAACTGAAGTGTGGGTGCTGTAAACATACCCACTGATTCATATGAAGTTCTCTAGCATGAAAAACATGTTCCTGAGCTCCTTAACATATTTGAAAATTCTTGCAATGAAAAGATATTATCAAAATGTGCTGGTGGTGTTAAGGTGAAAGCAAGATGGAAAGTCACAGAGAGACAATGATGAAAATGACAAAAGGAACCACTGATTAGGTACTTACACGGTGCCAGGGTTACTGAAAGAGAAATAATGCACACACACACACAAATGTGATAGAGAAGACATTGATGTTCCCAGGATGATGTAAAATCGACAAAGATGAGGCCAGAAAAAGAAGAAAAGGGAAAAATGAAATAACAAAATTCAAAACAATGAATTTACATAAAGATGTTACACAAGCATCATGCTTCAAAATAATCATGTTAAGCACAAACAAATGTTAGTAAAAACTAACTTTTTGTTACACTGTTGTTATTGGGACAACAGTCTTATCTGCGTTTTTGTTTGTTTCCCAAAACACTGAAAAATACTTTATATATCATTGCTAATTCAAGTCTCAAGTTACTAATACCAAGAGAGAAAGATACATTATTTTTTTTTAATTTCTAGGTTTTTATAAATTTCATTTCAGTATGAATCCAAATTCCTAACAAAAGGCACAGAATAAAACAATTACTAGATGTAAGATGTGAAAAATTGTTTTAGAATCATTTTTTAAATCAAAGAGATTAGGAGAAAAATCACGTTTACATAATGTAAGTAGTATATGGTAATAGCAAGTGTAATCACACATAAATTATCCTGAATTAGGAATTATGCACTATTTGAACATTTTCTTAACTTTTTTAATGTGGTAATTATGATGAAAATACAGAAAGCGCAGAAGGTCATAAATAATGGGCTATTATTCAATCTTCATACTCTCCCCTGTCCATCACTACTACTACCCTCACTCACAAGCAAATCCCAGTAAGTTTAGAACTGAATTTCAGGAACTCCATAGTTCTGTTTTACCAACAACCTAATTTACCCAGAAAAGCATGTCTGATATTATATAGTAAAGGACCTAGATCAGTAGTCGGCAAACTCATTAGTCAACAGAGCCATATATCAACAGTATGACGATTGAAATTTCTTTTGAGAGCCAAATTTTTTAAACTTAAACTATATAGATAGGTACACTGTTATTAACTTAATTAGGGTACTCATAAGCTGGCCTTTGCTAAAAACGTCCTCAATCTGATTGAGGTACGTTCGCTGAGGTTGACCCCTTCCAACTCTCCCATCCACATTCATCTTGTATACTTGTTTCAGATAGACGAGTGTGGATGGGAGAGTTGGAAGGGGTCAACTTCAGCGAATGTACCTCAAAACAACGTACTTCCCCCGCGCTGCGTATCCTGAGGCCCGGCTGCACTGCGACTCCGGAAAACCGACTTCTGCGCATGGGCCACGAGTTTCAATCGCACTGTACGTGCGAGCCCGCACGTGGTATTTTGTGGAAGAGCCACACTCAAGGGGCCAAAGAGACACATGTGGCTCGCGAGCCACGGTTTGCTGACCACTGACCTAGATTAATAACATCTAAAGAGGGAAAACCTCAAAACATAATTCACTCACATAGCCTATTAAGTAACAGAATCATTTAAAAAATATAACCCTTGAACAATGTGAGGGTTAGATGTGCTGACCATCTCCCCTGCCCCCTCTGCTGCAGTCAAAAAATACGAGTATAAGTTTTGAGTGCCCCAAAATTGTGTTGTTCCCTGGTATCCTCCAGGGATTGGTTCCAGGACCCCTTTGGGTACCCAAACCCACAGGTGTTCAAGTTCCTAATATAAAATGTGTGGAACAATACATGCAGTCATCCTTCCGCATCTGTGGTTCCCAACCGTGGATCAAGGATAAGGAGAGTCAATTGTATAAATTTATTGAAAAAATTTTGCACATAAGTGGATCTGTGCAGTTCACACCCATGTTGTTCAAGGATCAACTGTATATTCATATATTCCATTAAGGACAGAGAAGATAAAGTCTAAACTCTAGCTTTTCAACACACTGTTTCATCAATTGTTCCACAATAGAGTTTTAGTCAGAGTAACTAAAAATTCATTGTAAACATAGTGAGAATAACTTCCTACCAGTTTTAATACTAAGACTGTGAATGTGGCTATATTTCCAAACATCAAAGTCAGTTTTATAAATTCAAAAGAGGTTGAGTTTCACTGAATGGGGTGGGATGCAGGAGTAAGTTGATCTCAATAGTTTATCAATATTTATTCTTCTCTAGCCCCAATGCAAAGCATTCCCTCCTCTGCCTTACTGTTTTAAGTAGTAGGGAAATAGTTTTTCAAAATAACCTCCCCTCAACAGAGAAGAATTTTAGATATATAACTAAACATTATAAAGTTTCGGGAAACAGTTGTATGCCAACATGAAGTTGGGGAGGATGTTCTGTGTGGTGAGGAGCAGCAAATGGAGGGTTGATTGCTTTCAACGTAAAGATGCCAACTTGAATATGCCAAGTATTTCCATGCATTTTAGAAAAGCTGCCCAAGTAGAACAGCCCACCATACACCACAGTGCCAATATGGCCGTCAGATGACTTGGCTTTTCACCTCGGCTGTGCTGCCCATTCCCCTCTGCCCTGGGCAAGCTGCAATCTATAGATAGAAGCCTTTTTCCTTCACAGTGAAATGGATTGCAATTTCTCTCTCTCTCAGTCTCGTTGTAAGGGCATATGGTTAACATATTTATTTGAAGGCACTCTGAAACTATACAAATACAACTGTGTTCTTAGGATAGATCCCTCAAATGCTCATTATTAAAAAAAAGTGATATCAAACCCAACTGTAGTTTATGCACATTATGTACTCATATAGCCTCAATTCAGTCAATTTATCCTCAAGTCTATAATCATTAAAAACAAATATGAATTCAAAGTAACAGAAATAAGCCCAGTTCACAAACAGGTGATATAGAGGAAGTTACACCAAAATTTGACTTCAAAAGAAGTAGGCTCCAATCTTAGCTCTATCACTTACAAGCTGCCAGATTTGAGAAACTTGAGTAACTTCTCAGCATTCAGTTTAAATGAGAATTAAATCACATATGCATTTAGAAACACCTAGCACAATGCACAATAATACCTAATAAATTAATTCATCTAAATCTGAATCTTAAATACATATTTAACCTAAATGCTTAAATTTCTTTTTCCAAGTCCCATTTTCCCCCCTTTAAAGTCAAATTGTTCCATTGGAATCTAGTAACTAATCAAAGTCTTTATGCATAAGAATTTAACTTTAAATCGACAAAAAATAAACCAGGGTTTGGGGATTTTTACTTCTTGTGTATATAATGTGAAACTATTCAGTTAGCGAGACCAAAGCTACACTGGAATATAGTTGCTCTAATAATTCAATAGTTAATTCTCGAGTGTGGCTAAGATATCCCATATTTCCAATTCTACTCTCTTAGAGTAATGATAAATTTCAGCACAACTCAGAATAGTCATAACTTAACAAGAAAATATTTTAAATTCTAATCTAATGTGATTTTAATCTATTTTAAAGTTAGTAATCACAGCCAGTTTACTGTCAATACCAACAAACAATAGCAAGGTTTTTAAGTTATACTACAGTGATTTCCAATGTCTATGCCCACTACCTGTGACATGTAATAAGTTGATAATTATCTCTCTTAACTAATTTAAAAGGTGTATAGACTTTCTATCATCCAGGGACACATAACTGCACAGATAGAGATTTAAACCTCCCAGCATCATTGTTTGAAAATCAAAAATGTTCTTAAGAGACTTTACCTGGAAAACACTTGTTTTGTTATATGGATTTGGAAATCAACTCAGTATTACATATGCCAATACTAGTGCTATATGTTTTCTGCTTTCTTTCCTACCTTTACTTTGTCCTCTAGCAATCTAGACTGATATACATTCCATTCCTCAAAGCATTTTTTTTAGCCATTACACAGCAAACCCCACATATATTTTAAAACAAAAGTCAAACACTAATATTTACTACTATAAAACAAGTCACCACCACATAGCAATGCAAACCATACTCATTGAAAAGACTAAATGTGGTTATTCGAAAGTATAGCTCTTTTGCAAAATTTAACTTAATTTTGCAAAAATTGGGCATTCATGCTGTTTACTCATATATAAATCACCATATTTCCTCTCCAGTAATGTAGATACTAACTTTGTCACTTGTGTTTTCTGCAAAGAGAAAAGAATTTAAAAATATTACTACCATATCATTATATGTTGTATCTCCCAAGGCCAGGTTCTTCAAAATACCACATAGGAACTGTCAGGAAAAAATTACAGTCCAAAGAAATTGAAATTAATAAGGATACATGAAAGACTTACCTTGAAAGCAGCGGCCATTATAATGCAAGGGCATATGGAAGGGGAAAAGGTAAATTACTTAAACTACTTGATGCAAAATAGCTTATCTTCCAGTTTGGAAGATAAGTCTCATTTTGCTCTAAGTAGAGTACAGAGAGTGGTAAAAGAAAAAAAAAAATGCAGCAAGCCAAGTCCAATAATTCTTATATGTTAAAGAAAGATTAAACATTTCTTCAAGTGCCTTGTTCACTATTATTTATAAGAAACAGGAATGTTTACATCATATTATTAAGAAATGTCCTGAAACTATCAACATAATCATAGATTTCATATTATTAGATAAGATGAGTAACTTTCTCAGTAGTGGTACATAATTAATAAGCGCTTGTTAGTACCTGATGTTTACTAATCCTATATAAATTTGGATGAGACGTCTATCAAACTGGCAAATTAGCTAGTTTTTTTAAATCACTTAAGACTTAAGACCTCTTGCTTTGAGGAAAAAGATAACATGAATTGAGCTTTACATCCTTATAAACTCTTAAATTTTTTATTATTGGTCTATATTATCTTTTAAGAAAAAGAAAGTAACAATTCTCAACTTTGAAAATGTTTTGTTGCAAATCTCTTGTAATGTTATAAAAATATGGAAAGTTTAATAATCACATAATTAGTAAAATGTCTGACAGTAATTTAAAAAACAGTTTGGCACCTGATGTAGAAATGCATTGATCAATATCACAAAACACCTACCCTTCAAAATGACATATCACTGACAAGTGTGTGATTTATTTTTTATTTCTTTAATCTAAATGTCGTAAGAGAAAGGGCACCACAAATTTGTCTTAGAATTTCAAACACCACACTTTGTGTTCAGAATAATCAAATTTTCATTGCCCTAACATCTGGACAACATGTGAAATCAAGCTATTTCTAAATACACCCATTTGCAAATGATGCTTGTTAAAGATGCAAAATGCATAATGATCTCTTTTCTCCAGAATCTTGCACAGTGCTGGACACCAGGCCTGTGCTCAGTAATCACATGGCGATTGATTAAGAAGCCACCATAAAGGTCCTAGAACTATACCACTGCCTACAGTTTCAGTTTGAAAATAATACGCTTTCAATCATTTCAAGTTTAATCATCAAAGCTATACTTATAAACCACAAAATTTAAACCTTGGTATTTTCATATACTTTAAAGGTAGTATTTTTCCATAACTTCAATTTGCTTTTACCTCTATAATCTTCCATTAGGAATACTTTCACATAAAATTTCAAGATGTGTTAATAAGGAGAAAAGATTTTAGCTCAAACATTTCCTTCAGTGGACTTTTTCCTAGTGAACCTGGAATTTAATAAACGTAGTAAATTTCTGCTTTTCGTTTTCTGAGGGGCTAGCATTTGAAAGGCAGCATCTGTCTTTTAGGAATATGTACTTTGATGACTCTAAAATCTATAGTCTTAAAACAAACAGAAAAAAAAGACAACCAAACACACAACACTACATACTATTTTTCTTCCTCACATGAAAGAATAACATTCTTTGAAGGACACTAATTTTCCGCAATATATACATCAAAACTTCAAAAAGCCACCCACAACCACAGAACTGCATGTAGGGCCCAGTAGCTGCTCCTCCAGACCTCCTCCTGCTCTTTCTCTCAGCAGCAGCCTGGAACCCTGCCACCTCTTTCTCAAAGCCCCACGGTTGCCATGGTGGCAGTGCTACCCAAAGCACAGTCCCTTCATTACATGAATTACCATTCGGAAGGGATTATCTCAGAAAGAACCTATCCACACAATTATTTTAATTATATTTTCCTGGGAACTGGCATTGGTAAAACCAATCAGGCATGCAGATTATTTCCCTTTGTTTTCCTTTTAAAGTAAATTTTTGCCACAATAAATCTGATCAAATAAATTATTGGCTTAAAGTATGATCATTGAATTCAAAGAATAAAATGACCATCTATAAATAAAGACTGTTAAAAACAAACTTCAAAAGGGAAAAATTATAAGGAATAGATTTTTCAAAAACATCTAACATATATTTAGTGCCCATTCATTTAAATCCATTCATTTTAGAAAAATCTTTACAATGAAAATACCTTCTAATTTGCTTCTAAAGTTTTACATGCATCCCTGGACATTACTGTTTTGTCATTACTGTTTGCTTTTAAAGACTAAATTCTAGCATGAACTTACCTGAAAAGAACATTGCTTGCATTTTAACCTAAGCTAATGCATCAGGCACAGACATGAGTCAAAACTTTGATTTCTGTCTTTGTAAGACTTAATTCCTTAAAAAAAAAGCTTCTTACAAACTCATTTCCTTTCTACATAAGCTGATAAACTGACAGAACTGCAACCACTCTCTTTAAACTTTTGGTGACTAGTAAAGGGATGGAAATTTTGAGGAAGAAAGATATAAGATTTGCCTTGCATTATAAGTGCCAGCTGCTCAATGCTGTGCCAGGACTTGGACAAAAAGAGTTACGGCATATGTTACATGGTTCATAACATGTCAAAATGCATAATTAGGTTTTGATTAACCTATCATTGCTTTGCAGAAACTGCAGTATGTATATAATATAAAGCTACATGCTAATGAAGCAAATAAAACCTCATCTCCTTTCTTTCAAAGAACAGCTGATTTTGGGGGGGGATTTAGATTGTTTCCTGGAAATTGCCTGAAAGAAGAGTTTTGATAAGAGCAGAAAGCACCCTTGGCCACCTACCCATTTTGCTGTTTACTGTCACCCTGGGATCCTCTTCTCTGTCCCTCTGCTAGCTCCTGAGCAGTCTCGGAACACACGCTGGTGACTGTGGGCTGCCGTGGGACATTAACTGCAGGTTTACCAGCGCTCAATGCAGGTGAACGCTGGTCAGCACTAAGATTGGCATTAGCATGCAGTCCAGATGCAGCGAATGGGGGAGAAGTGACAGCAGCCACAGGTGGAGGGGAAGCATGTGATGAAGTGGTGGCATGGGCTGGGGTGAAGGCAGACGATGGTGATGGGATGGATGTGACTTTTGGTGAAGACACAGAACCAAAGGGCCGTGGTGCCTTATTGTAGGCCATGTTGGTTGTGGAAGTGACTTTGGACACAGCAGGAGATGTAATGGGCACAGGTTTAACTACTTCTTTAGGTTCTCCCTATGTAAAATAAAAATAAACATATACAAAAACACACCAAATACATGCAAACCAGATTCTCTTAAAAGAACACAGCTTGTTTTTAAAAAGACAAACACAATCATGTTAGCAGCTCAAACTTTATAGGTTTCCAGATAAAACCAATTAAGTTGATATAGCATAACATGCATGCTAACTGTTCCCAACATGCATAACACAGATGCACACACTGAGTACATTTTTTAAAATAAAAATGAAAGGAGTTTCAAAATATTTAGAAAATGGAGCAGGAAAGTTATCAAAAAGCCTAAAGGCCATCATAAGTGTCAATTTAGACATATTCCAAAGGAAAAAATTTCAAATTCCTCACAATAAATAATACATTGCTAACCGAAATGTTTATTTTAAAATATCCAGAGTCTCAATTATAATTCCATCTTTCAAACATGTTTAATTACTCTCCAGAGTACAATCATTTGATTCATGCAGAAGCAGCAGCACATTTCTAACTCTTCATGTACAAAAAAGGAATAAGACTGTTTTCAACTAACTCAGAAATGTGCACATTCTAATTAATTATTTTGAATCAAGAAATTGCTTTTTAAAAATCAACATAAAACAAACAAGTAAACAAACAAAATCAATCCTTTTCTTGTCCTGTAATCCACCAGTTTCTCTCTGGAACGTTTTGAGACAGCATTCAGGAAATAAAAAGGAATAAAATTCTTTCCCTTTTCCAAAATAAATATTTAATAGTTACATGAGGGAAAAAAAAATGATCTTAGATGTTTCTTCACTGCTATCAGCCAAAGAAAAAAAATAACTAGTAAGAAAGATCAATTCTTCCTAAAATTAACAGAATTTGTGTTTACAAATCCCTATTCCAAAGCAAGTATAAAGTTAAAAAAAATTAAAGAAGAAATCCCTACTCATCCTACCATCATGAAACAAAAACAATAAAAAATGTTAAAAGTATACAATGGCAAGTCTATTATACTTAATTTTAAGAAAGCAAAGGTAATCTAAATAAATCTTATAAAAATTATAAATCTGACGGGAAAAAGTAGCTTATTACCTCAGTAAATCAATACAATAAGTAATTTGATAGAAAGGCACAAGTAAAATTAAAGAGAAATCCCCAAACAGCATAAAGCAGATGTATGTGAATAATGGTTTGGGACAATTTGAAGATATAGATGAGAGAAAAAAGGCATTTGCCAACAACCTAACTCAAGAATACTCAGCAAATGTAATTTAAAACTTATTAATAGTATGAATAAAATAAGATTAAGGACTTATAATATTCATTTTTAGTAAACACTTATTATCTTTAGAATATGTGAATAAAAACAGGCAAGTTAAAAGTAATGTAAAAATTTTGTATATAAGTTATTAATAATATATGACACTGGAAAATGTTTTAAAATATAAGTATAATTAGAAAGATGGTAAATCTGTATGTGTTGATTTCCATTTTCCCGCCATCCTTAAAGGAAAAGAACTGTAAGGAAAACTGTACTGAAACTACATTGTCAGTATGGCCTGAGAAAGGAATGGAAATTATAGTAGTTCAGGAGGGACTATCAAAATGGTACCCTAGTGATAGTAGATTAGAAACACACCTTTTGAACAGGTACTGGTTCCGGCCTGGATGTAGCAGATGCTCTGGGGGGGGGAAAATGAGAGAAAAAATAAAAAACATGAACTTTTACAAACTTATTAATGGAATTTATATTATTATATACCTTAATATACTAAATCATCAGAACTTACAGTTTTATAACTTATTATTTTTGACTATCCACAGTCTACTAATTAGTTTATGGGACTCAAATGCTGCAAGATCCAATAATACCCCTACACTCATTAGTTCTCTACACACTCAAATGAGTAAAGACAAACACCAATCATGTTTACTACTGCACTTATGTTTAATCTTTAAAGGGCAAGGATAATAAACGTAACTTTTTGATCCTTGAGTGGCTTCTAAAACATCTCATCTGAATCATCTCCAATAGTATCTGCCTTTTCCCCTCACATCCATGAACCATCCATAGGATATTGGCCTCTTTGTGAAGATACTGAATAAACTCAGGTTGAACTGAGTCACCAAATGAATATTTATTTTGTATTCAGATTCTTATCTGCTTATGCAAGTTTACTTGTTATGCTGAAACTAAACTGTAAGTTCTTCCTTTAAGCTATAATTTCAACGAAGGTGATGACCATCTACCATTTGTTTCTATCAGTATTGTGCCTGCCATGAAAGAGTAATGAGTGTTAAAAAGGGAGAGCAAGAAAGCAGGACAAAAACCCATGTACACTATAGACTTGACTATTTCTAAATCCAAATTAGTTTATTTTTAATATATGCTTTTTGTATTATTACCGTTCCTTTGGTTAGTGTGGATTAATAGTAGCAATAATTGATTTATAGGAATTATCTCATACAATCATAAAAAATAACCAAAGTTATTATCCTGATATTTTAGATGAGGGACTTCAAAGTTAGAGTGAATAAATTACTTACTAGGATGGAGCTGAGGCCACCAGTTCTTATATATTACAATACACTGGCTGTAGTCAAGGATAGTAACTAAATGATTGGGAAAGTTTTAATTTTTTAAAGGCTATTTACCCAGTATAAAGGTACATGTTATGTTTAATAATGCCAGAAGCACTTGGGCTCCTCTATATCACACAAGCCTGAGGACAAGTCATGAAGTGCAAAATTCAAGAAAAGTAACCATAGTAAGTAAATGAGTGATCATTTTAAACTACAAACTCTGAGATTGCTTTACTTATAGAGAAAGAAGATGCCAGTGAAGGATATTTGGTCTCTGTGAGTATAACCTAGTAACGAACTCCAAACATTTTTAGCAGCAACTGATTTTTCCAATATCTAATTTGGTTAGCTAGGGCAAGCACTGACTGAATAACTGGCTAACCTAATGAGAGGCCAGAATAGATGCTAACACTTGGTTACTGCTATAGAATTATACAACTGCATAACTTTCCATGTGTACTCTCAGACAGACTTTCCATTCGTACTCTCAAGTTTCTCTTTTAGCTCATAGGGTTATTATAACAAGCAAAGGAAACAAGTTCAGAACAGAACAGTGGAACCTTCCTTTCATTGAAATTTCACAATAGGGTGCAAATCACAAAGGATCTATATTAAAAACAACCAAGGCATTACCAACAGTTTGCTATAATAGACAAGATGGTATCCCATTTTTACATCTGGACCCTTAAACTCTTCTAGCAACATAAAAACTATTTATGAAAAAGAACATGTTCACAAATAGAATAAAATGCACAGAAATATATAAATATATATTTATATATTTTTATATTTATATATTATATTTATATATTTATATGAAAATATATATATATTTTCATATATATATATATGAAAACCAAAACCTTAGTTTTTTCCAGATGTTTCTTTAAAAATATATATATGTTTGATTTCAGAGAGGAAGTGAGAGGGAGAGATAGAAACATCAATGATGGGAAAGACTCATTGATTGGCTGCCTCCTGTATGCCCCGTACTGGGGATCAAGCCCACAACCCAGGCATGTGCCCTGACCAGAAATCGAACTGTTTTCCGGGGTTCATAGGTCCACGCTCAACCACTGAGCCATGTTTAAACAGTGTTAGCAACAACAGCAAAAGCCACATAATGGTTAGTTTTCAATTAATTTTTTTGAAAAAGCATACAGTAAGTCCTGATGCATTGAAAGTTCTACAAAAATACTGTTTGAAATTTTAAATTCACAAAAAAATTTATAAATCAGACGCTTAAATCTGTTTTCCCTTCTTGCCTTCTAATAAGGTTTTACTAGTGTAGTGACATGAACTAAGACAAGTCATCAGAGATAAGAAGGGCAACATGCCCTGGAAAGGATTGAGTCCATCACACAATAAAAACACAACCATTTAATAGAAAAAACATAAACTGACTTATAATTAAATGTCAAATAAAATGGTTGACATCAGATGCAATAAAAATTAGTTCTGTTGGTTCACCAAATTAGTCATAGAATCATTGAAATCTGGAAGGTTCTTTAGTGCTACCTTATCACATGCCAATCAGTTACTCATCCGACCTCAGCTTGAATGTTTACAGGAGCTCACAATTTAAGCCATGTACTTTCTGAACACTTCCGTTTAAACTGGCCTTCATTTTTGTGTGTTATTTTGCTTCTTGGAGTAAACAGAATAAGTCAATCTGTCCACATTAAAAATATTTGGAAAAACATTTTTTACACACAGCATATGTACATAAAATCTATAACGTACATTAATTATATTTTACAAGATCAGTAGGCTACAAAAATCTTATAAATGTATTTACATACTCTTGTGACACAAACTATTGTGGTTAAGGAAATTAAGAATATAGGACAAGTGAAATCTGCAAAATTAATAAATAGTAATAACACTAGTATTTTTTTAAAAAAAACTTTACTAATTATCACAGAATAAAAAAATAAAAAGATTTTTACTTTCAAATATGTAAAGACTAGAGGCCCGATGCATGAAATTCGTGCAAGTGTAGGCCTCCCTTCCCCTAACTGCCGGCACCGGCTTCCCTCTGGCACCTGGGACCCGGGCTTCCTTCTGGCCACCAGCAGGCACCCAGGACTCGGGCTTCCCTCGCAGCCCCAGCTTCATCCAGAAGGTCATCCGGAAGGATGTCCAGTCTAATTAGCACATTATGCTTTTATTATTATAGATCGGCTTTAGTGTTAATACATAATGCTTGTGTGAATAACACTGTAAGTTGCTAGAAGAACTAGGTATCTTATGGTTCTTTTGGAAAATAATTTGGCATTTATTTACAAAAAGCCTTGAAGGAAGCTCATGACTTTTGATATAATAATCAACTTCTTGGAATCTATCATAAGGAAATAATCTGAAATATGGAAAATACTTATGTATAAAGATATTTGATCCCTACAGTGTAACTTTTAAGAGTGAAAAATTAAAAACAATTGATTAAATACACAATGAGAAAATGGTTAACTTAATAAAAACACATGATGAATCAGTATGCAATGACTAGAGTCATTCTAAGAAAGAATTCTGAATGATGATAACATGCTTTCTTTATAGTGTCAAGTGAAAAAGGAAGATAGAGCACATACAGCATGAACAGTACATGGGGAAAAGGGGATGGAAGCACGTCAACATTTTAATTGAGGCTCCCTATGAATAATTATTTGTTTTTTCTCTTTTGTGTATGTTTTCCATATTTTATACAATACACATGTGCTACTTTTTATAAGTAAGACTATTTCTCTAAGCATGCTTAGCAGAAAACTACTTTCCAAAACACGAAATAAACAAAAAGGTTCTGTTTTCAAAGATGTCTGGAAAACTTGAAGTTAAAGTTAGAAAAGCATCTAAGCAACATGACTTCTCAGAGCCTTTAAATGCCTACAGAAGAAAATACTGTGGATTGTTGTGCATACCCATTTGAAGTATGGAATGCTTATTTATTTAGAATACTCATTTAAGAAACTCTTTACAAGAATGAAGTTAGGAAGTAAAAAAACTCTCTAGGAAATGTTAGTTAAAAGAAAATAAATCTATGTAAGTCTGAAATGTTTACTCAGGTCTTCTATCAGGGGCTAAAATTAAGGGAAAGAAATATTACAACCCATAAAATCCTAGAATATCATTCTTATCCAACTAGTACTTTCATGAACTTTAATAAGATACCCAAAGACTATGTGCATAATTTAATCAATGTTTAAGGAGGAAAATCCCACTTCCTTCATCAAACTAAAATGTATACTTTCTATAGTCCCTTAGAAAATCCTAATGTATGAATAAAGAAAACTATTTTTCAAAATTAAAATTTTTATAGTTGTCTTTCTTTATTTTTAGAAAAATATATTGAGCATCTGCTCCTTTACTTTAGAAATGTCATAGATTACTTAAAAGCAAACAATTTTTGTCACTTGATTTTATGATAATTTTGCCAATTCAACACCAACAGGAATCTCCAATTTGGGGTGTGGTGAAGAATGAAATTTTATTCAGTGCAAAACAGCTCAATTGTGGTATAGCACGGTTGTGGCTCTGATGCCCCTCTCTGGCTAGACAACTCTGCTCTGCTCCTCACAGGTCTGCCTGGTTGTGCACTGGTCTGCTCCCCTTTGCTCTGCTCTGCTCCATTCTGTGCCAGTCTACTCTGGCTTGTACTGGTCTGCTCTGCTCTGTTCCAGAGAGACATGTTGGGTGTTTCAGCTCCAGCCTGGGAAACACAGTCTTCAGTGGAAAGAGAAAGTGCACTCTCAAACCCAGAGGGGCACTGACTTAACGTAGACAGAAGTCCCCACCCCTGGTCCCTGCTTGGTCTGTCATTGTGCAAATGAGGGCTTCAAATCCTTGCCATTTGATTGGTCCAAAAGGCACTGTCCTGATTGGTCATAATAGAGCCACTCTCATTGGCCAGTGAAGATGCTGAAGGGGGACATAGCTAAGCAGCTCCGACTGGATGGGGAAAGCCTCAGTCCTATTGGTTGAAATAGGATCCTAGGAACTCTTTTGTAAGGACTGGCTCAGATGGCAGAAACACAGTGCAGGCAGGCAGTGCAGTGCAGAGGCAAGCAGTTCAGTGCAGACTTCTCTCTGACGTGCAGTTTGT